AAAAGTGTAGTTGAAACTGAATGTTTCTCTTCCTTTGCACTTATGAAACCATTTCTCTGTTGTCTTTGACTTCACAGCATGGCTTACACTAATGAGAATCACTTAAGGACATATTTAACTACCACAAGGACTTCTTGTTAAATCTTCATTCTCTTTCTTCCAGAAAAGATACTTTCTGTATTTAATAACATCGAATGAAGAGATGTCCTTAGCACAGGTGTATATTTCTGCAGAAATGTTGTCCTATGCTCACTGAAGGTGACTGGTCCATCTGTGGTAACCTGCTGACATCTATCTTAGTGCCTGAAGGCATTTTCTATGATGTGCAGCATTTCTGTACTTAAGGAAGTCCTTCTTTCAGGTAGTTCACTGCAGAACCCTCCAGGGCCATCATTTAGCCCAGGAGAAGATCAAAGATTATGGAGTCTCTTAAGGCTCTTTTGCTGGTGGTGGTATAGAATAGCATAACACGGGCACTTCAGGCAAGCACCGTCAAATTCCTACTCAGAATAAAAATATATTCTCACTAAATTAACCATAATTGATATACTGAAGTAAAGATCAATGGAACATTACTATCACACTCTGCAAAAAGCTACCTTTTCAAGCCTACATGTATACATCTCCTCATCTCTACCTAAGGGGGTGCTCGTCATCCCTGTCACCAATCCTATGGCTAATATAAACTATCTGCATCTTAAGGCAAACCTCTTATGAGAATAGTTGACTGAAAGTGCATCACAATTGCCAACAAAGGATACAGAAATGTTGGCACATACACATGGGCTATATGGCTGTCCTCCTTTCACTCTGTCAGAATTAGGAATCCTTCCCTACCTTGTTTTAGGACACATACTGATAATTACTATCATACTTGAACATATTTTAGATAAAAAAATATATACACCGTGGACTTGACTTTACTATTTTTCTTACTTATAGCTTCACTGGGGAGGCTTCCTGTTCAGCAAGAATCTTAAGTGTGTGTTTAACACGATTGGCTGTAATACTGGCATCAAAACGCATGATTATAGGAGAGTGTACTTAAATATTTAGGGATAATAGAAATATGTGCTTAAGTATTTCCATGAACTCGAGCATTAGAGCATACAAATTCTTATGGTAGAGTATAAAACCTTTCCTGGCAATCAGTTGTGAAATTTGCCTGTGTCATCTATGGCCCAAATACTCATAAGTAATACTAATGTCCTGATAAAAGCTTTATTCCATCCCGCGTAATAAACTTCATTTTTGCCCTCATTCCTCAACAACTTGGCATACTCTTCCTCATCTCTCTTTTGGTATTTTCACACACAGTGGAGACCACGTTTTATTTCCTAAGGTTCTAATAAAGCCTATTGCAAAGACGGTAAGTGCCGAAGATAAGTAAATCAGAGGCTATTCTGTGTCACAGAGTCTGGCAGCAGCAGTTTTGATGGAAAATATTTATGCATTGACACAGTTGTTATTCTTGGTTCACACATTATTTTTTGCAGTGAAGCTTTGATTTTCCTCAGTGAATTTTGCATCGTGCTATCCATACTCTTTCTAAACATTTCAGATAGCACTAACAGCAAATTCTCGTCTAGTTTATACTATTGTGTGTTGCTATGCATTTAGTTTTGTTTTATAGAACAGGGAACGAGAGGAATGAACATGATTAAGGTGATGGTTCAGAATATGGCAGACACTGCATTAGCACATATGTCACTGTCTCTATTCTCATGTATCTCTTAGCAAACACATAGCTTCTTTTCCCTGCTATGGGAAGGGAATTTAAATAACTTTATTAAGCATCCATATTTGCTCAATTATGTCCTCTTTCAGATTCAATTTGCAATCTTTTCAAGCCATATAAATGCTGCCAAGACATACATTCTTAAAAGAATAGTTAAGAAAAAGCTAAAAGAACATCAGTCACAATTAACGTCCTGTGTACAAGTAGTGCACAAGCACCACAGGTCTGCTTTCAAGCAGCTTCTTTGTGTTTCTTCATTTAGGGGATAAACGTAACCCTTGGGAAATATCTTGAGAATAATGATAATAAATACAACAAAAAAGGGGGAAATTTACTTTTCCTCTCTGGAGATCGTCTTTGAAAAATCCCAGCATTTTAGAATATCTTTTGTAATTTTAGTGGCTAACATGATTAGGCCTCAACGTTATTATCTTTGTATTTCCAGTTGATTCTGTTGAAATTCTCACTACTGCGGTTCTGAGAAATGATTGCAAACTTGCACTTTCACATTCCCTGCACAAAAGCAGTCATCTGGCCTTTATATTCCATGAATTATGTTCCAGGGATTCGCTGTGTTTCCATCTGCGTGCTACTGAAGTGTGCTGCACTGTGTGCCTGGCCAAAGATCCCTCCGGCTGCAGCAGTGATACGGTAATTCCCACTGGTTTCACACTTCTTCACTTCCAGGGCAGTTTTCACACTGTCAAACATTCTGCTACAAATGAGATTATTTTGAGGCCTTGTTGAACCAATATAGCTATTAAATTAGAACTAAGTCAGATTACATGAGTTGCAACAATTTTGTCCTGAGATAAAAATGAGCATACCTTGAGCAGTTCTCAGGTATTTTACAGAATAATTAATTGAGATGTTGCTCATCTTTTCATGAATATCAGTATATTCTTAGATTTGTCCATCCACTGCAGCCTTCCCTCCGTTCTTGAATCTCTAGTACAATGTTGTAACTGCTGGTGGTAACGTTGGCTGTTCTTTTGCCTACTCCCTCCTCCCTTCATTAAAACAAAAAAATCAATTGCTCTCCACATTTATCTAATGACAGAGAATACCACAGGGCAGACAAATCAGCTTAAGTCTTGCTTATTAGCGATCACAACTTAGAGGTATCTTTCTGATTAAAATAGATTTTCCTGTTCTTTCGTGTTATCTTTTGCTTCTGAGTCAGGGTATTGTTAAGTGATTGCAGCAGAGTATGATTAAGGATGGGTGAGCCAGAAAATATAGAACAAGAACAGGTCTGAACTCTTACCTGAACCTTATCTCATAGGACCTGTTCTTTGAAGTCGGAAGATGAGTGGGTAGAGAAAAGACTAAGGAAAAAGAAGATTTAAGTTTTGATTAAACAGCTAGTGGCAGAAAATCTGCTATTAACAAGTACTAGAAAAAGACAACCACCCACAAGTCCTGCAAATAGTTTTCCACAGTTTACATACAAGTTTTAACCATTTTGCTTAGCCTTGTGGATGTGAGTGATGAAATAGTGCCTGCTTTTCAAACATTTGCCAGTTAACTCCAGAAGTAACAAACGGCCCCTTATGTGGGGAACTGCCCTTTATATGAGTCCCCATCAGGTTTTATTTGACAAATTGTGTAACATCTCACAGTTTCACAGTGTTACACAAAAATTGGAGAATTACTGGAAACTATATATATTGTCCCTATTGCCTTTGGGATTGGTAGAGATGTCCAGAACAAGACTGTGGAGAAATTAGCAATCAGAGAGAACCTGATACTTTGGGATTAACCAAGAATTTTTACAGATTTTTGTCAGAATCACCAATACCATATCCAAGTTCTATTAGAAGCTATCACGGCTTTGAAATAGCTTGTTCAAAAATCAGAGTAAAAGTTGGAAATGGGTAATTATTAAAGTCTGAGAGGGGTACATGTCTGTTTTTTACTGAAAACTTTGATCTCAGTGATTTTTAACCAATTCTGTAACTGGTTTAAGGAACAGGTTCTGTTTTTTGCAAACAAAAAGATAAAAACCTTTAAAAGCCTTTTTTGTTGTTGTTTGTTTTTGTTTTGTCCCTCTCCCTTTTGCAGTTATTTCAAAGTGACCAATCAAGTCTAATCCTTATGAGCATCCTCATCCTGCTCCAGAGGATGCTTTCCCGTGGACCTGTCACACAACCTGTTGAAATCAGTTCATAGCATTTTCATGGTCTTCATAAGTATTTTTATGCTTCTTTAATTATTAAACATAAGAGCAGTTTCATCCTTCACCCAAGAAGGCAGACTTGAATGTTGGAGGATTAGCCCCACCAGTATACCTCAAAAATAATACCCCACGTGGGATGGGGCGTAGAGGACAAGGAGAGAGATTTTTAGTGTCAGACAGGAGGGAAATCAGTGTTGAAGGGTTCTCATTAACTGTAATCTTAACTGAGCCTTAAGCCTGAGGTTCAAAGGTACTTTGGAAATAACTATTGCCCATGAAATGGTCCCCAATGAGTAGTATGTGTGTTCTTGGTAGCTCTGGGAAATGGGGAGAATGAAAAGCCTAAAAAAACATAAGCTTCACAAAAGGAGATGGATTATCTTTTTTCACATCCACATGCACATGTGGGCACACCCCGGCCACATAATCCCTTTTTATCAGATCTGTGAAAAAGGGAACCCTTCGTGTGTGCCTTGCTTTGGGCTCTCCCCTCTCCGTTACAGTCAGCGTGGGACTCTGCTCACTGAGTTTTTCCCTGCTTTCTCTTCTCTTCCCGGGAGCTCCTGTGTGAGCAGGAGCTGTGCGCCGGGATCACGAACGTGCAGTTATGTGAGTTTGCCAGACCCTCAGCTTGTGTAAATCAGGGTTTCTCTGTCAGCTTCCATGGAGTGTGGTCGATTTACGTTAGTTGGCCATCTGACACACTATGTCCTCTAGGAGTTCCTGGGATTGAAATCCTACTTGCGCGTCTGCTGATTTTATTTAATTTTGTTACCCTTTTGTAATGCTAAAATAATGGGGATGAGGGGATTAAAGCTTCCGATAATGTATTTCGCTGATGCTGTAAGGAAAATATTCTGCTTTCTGAGTCATTTGCCCTGAGCTGACTTTTTTAATGGTCCAGGGGTTTCCTTCTTTAGCCATAAATTGCATGCAAATTCTTTTTTTGTGTGTGTGCCTGTGTGTGAGTGTGTGTGTGTGTCTTTCAGAAGCGAAGCCAGAGAGAGAGGCTGTTCCTTTAAAGCAAAACTGAAAAAAATGCCTTCAGGCATCCTATTACAGTGGAATGAGCCAAGGATCAGGATTTGCAGCTCAGCTATATAAACCCAGCAGAATCTGGCTGATCTGACCAGTTTGCCTTACTGTCAAACATTTCTGTGCTTCACACACATACGCACACACACAGCATCAGGCAACGCAACTTTTCTGACTTTTGACAGGACAGCAACAAAGTCGGAAGCCTGATAGCTGACTTGAGCATCATATTTATTTCATGGAGGCTGCTCACAGCAGGATCTAATCTCTGTCAGAGTCTGTAAGGTAAGTCTGCTTCCTTCCTGAATTAAAAAATCAGGAGCTCTTGCACCCCTCAAGTTCTCAATAACACAGTGTTCTGTTGTAACCTTCACAGCTACAACTTTACTCAGCCTGACTAGGCAGGGGTTTTTCTAGGGAATCTTTTTAAATAGGAGCATGCCTGTCTTTACTTTGTCTTTATTATCCTGTGCAAGAACAATGTAGGAAATGTTTCACTGCTATTAATTTGAATTAATGTATGAATGGAAGATGGGTTACTTGGATCCTGGACATCTACAGAAAACTAGGTAAAAACCTAACTGACAGGATGGCTGGAAAATCAATAGTGTGTGGGATTCCCTCTTGACTAGTCAAGTAATGCAAATATTAGCCCCTTTTTCTCCCCACTTACCAGATGAAATGGACTCCTAAAACCTTCCAGGTAACCTTCCAGTGCTATTGTGTGCGATTTGAAAGTTAGAACCTTTTTCTTTTTAATTTGCTGCCTGCCTGCTTGTTTGCACTGGAGGCTTTGTCACCTCCCTCGCTACCCCCCAGGCTGCTGTTTCATTCAGAGTACAGTAACATCCAACTCTGGAGCTCAAGACAAAGGAAGATTCAACTGGTATCTGATTACTAAGGGCTTAAATGGGTGGGCTGTGAGCAGGGGGAGGGTGAAATTCTGCCATCATCATGGAAAAAACAAGCTTTACAGTGTGTGTGTCCGTCTTATTCTTAACTACTTGCTTCCTTGTGCACTGAGGTTTTCAGCATGACTCTGTCTGCACTTACCACTAAGGCTCAGACTTGCCTGAAATGGAGAGATTGACTGAGAGAAGGTCATAGCACCTGGCTTCATTTAGGAATTAAACTTTTCTACTCAAAACTTCACATTACATCATCTTGCAGGGTTTTCCCTGCCTGGTTTACCCTCTGGCCCCAGGAAATACGTTTTTTTTTTGGCAGCTGTTCTAAACTTTTCAGTAGTCTTTATCATACCGTGCTGTTATATTTAGATTGACAGGACCATGATGTGTTCTCTTGCATGGTGGAGGCATCATCAAAGTAAGAAGCAAAGTAAAAATATTTATCAACTTCTCTCATAAAAAAAATACACAGAAGTGAATGAGTGGCATGTTAATTGCATGGACTGGGCAGAAGCCCTATTGTCCAGCTGTTATTTTAATTTGCTTGTATTTTGAGTTCATTAAATCACATTAAATAACGGGAATTGATTTTATATACTTCCTGATTAACGTTTGTGTATTTGTGTTTTATTGTGCTGGCATCCTGCGTTGTCTTTTAGAGCTCTGAAATCTGCAGGGTGCTGTAGTTTGTGACTGAGGCAACCGGTGGGGACTGTCCACAGTGTTTTGAATTGCAGGAAGGCTTGTGGAAGTGGGCACTGAGCTTTTATTTTCTTCTTACTGAACTCAGAAGCAAAAATGGTAGCAGTTGAATGTGCTTAGCCAAAAGAGGCGAATCAGTCTGTCTGAAATCAGTCTGTCTGCAGCTGAATTTTGGAAGTACTTCGGGTGTTATCAGGGAGTTGATAGAAAGTCCCCTTTGAGCTGTTACACCTGTGTGCCATCTGCTCTGGAAGGAATCACATCTGAACTGAGCAAGGAGGTTAGCAGCTGAAAAAGGGCAGGCTGAAGAGCGATGCTGTAAGGGGGACCCCTTTCACCTGCTGTCACAGGCACTCACATTCCCCTTCCTCAGCAAATTACCTCTCCTTTGCCTTATTTTTTTTTCTTTAATTTTGTCTTCAGGCTCCTTTCATGCCAGAGAAAATTCTTTCCAAGTTCCAGTCCTTAATCCTCTAACTCTAGAATTACTTCATAACTGCTTCCAAAGCTGTAGAAAAGACATTGAATCTGCAAAAAAACATATAGTCTCCAGAAGACCAGACTAGGTAGCAGGTTGTGTACTTCCGAGGACTAATTCTTCATTTTTCATCCTTTCCTTCCTCAAAGCAAACAAGACCAAAGAGCAGGCATTTGAAATAGTGATGTTGCTTTGGAGCCGGACCTTCAACTCTTGCATCCTTTCTCATACCACCATGTGGAATAATAGACTTGCTTCTTGTGTTCTTCTGCCATTTTTCTGGTACAAACAACCATGTATCTGTTCATGTAACCTTGTAGGGTGTGTTCAAAAGTCCTAAATGGCAATGTAGAGTACCAAATTGTATAATGGTGTCGTATGGTGAAAATGGATGACCTTCACTGGCAGATTTGTAAGAGCTAAGTAGTGATCATTCAGTGTGCTGTTTTCATTAGTACTCTCTGATATCTCTCTAGGTTGAATGTTACGTGTAGAAATACAAGTAAATGAGGAGTGAGGTGTCTGCCTTGTTGTCAGCTGCACCTTTATCTGTCTTACTGGCATGGTATACTGGAAAATATGAAAAATTAAGAATGGTTAAAAATTAATCTGCAGTTTGAAATCTGCGATTTGATCTATTCAACCTTGGACACATGCCATCACAGTGCTGCTAAGCTGAAGGGCCACTGACGGTTTTAAAGCCCAGTATTTCATAAAGCTCTAGGCTTAGAAATGCATGATATATATTGCTAAGAAAGCTAGAAATCTCAGCTTTCCAATAATAAAACAGCTTTTGTTTTAACCTGTGGCAGGTTGAGCTATCGAGCTTTAAAACTGTGCTGGGTTACCAACTTGCACTTTTCTCAGATTTAATTTCTGGTGTGATTTTTAGCACACCTTTCTCACAGACTGATGGTTGTCATCAAACCAGTGTTTATAAATGACAGAAAACGGACTGTGAACTGCTGCAAAAGGTAATGCCTACAAGGGTATTTTAAAGCAGCTTTAAGGAACCAGCTGACTGAAAGAAAGCATCATTACAAAGTAACGAGATAGGAAGTTAGGTAAGGGAGTGACAATTCAACAGGCTCATATTTTATCATTAGGTAGTCTCAGAAATATGAAGAGCCAGTACAAGTAACTGTAGGATTGATAACTTTTAGTTCTGTACAGAAAAAATAAAAATTTGAGCTCCAGAACTGAAAAATAAGTTCATCAATTTTGAGTTTTTAGGATGTAATTTAGTTGGTTAAATTGATATCTATTGATATCCTCGCCTTATGCAGGTTTTGCGTAGGACTTCATGAGAAGTTGATGATGATGTTACTACTTCTACAGCATTTTAAGGACTCATTCTGTTATAAAAAGTGAATTGACATAATAAGTGATGCTCTTCTCCACAAAGAGCTTAAAATTGCTATTATTAGCAGTTCAGAAAAGTTCTTTGTGTGGTGAAGACAAAAGAAGAAGGAAGAAGGCAGTTCTTTGAGGAATGAAAGTGCCAGAAAGAAGGAAAATGAGCAACCCTGAGAGATGACATCGAGCTGTCTCAATTTCCACGGAGCTCTTGAGGTTTGCACAAGTGGAACTTCCCCTAGTTCAGAGTGCTCGCTGTCCACTCGTGCGTTTGAACCTCTGTCCCATCTGAGCTGAAGTTAAATGCCTTCCACATGTGGGAAAAGTTAAAAACCGGGCATTCTTCCAGCTAGTGAAGTCTCTCAATGTATGATGTAACTACACTGTGTAGAGAGGGCAGGCAGGGGAGGGGGGTCTGAAAGTGATCCTCCCAACAAGAAGGGTTTCTTGGTCCATCAGAGAATGTTTGGGCATTGAAAGAAGGAATATGATATAGATTCCTCTGCTGAACAGACAATGTTGGGATTTACTTGGGCTCTCTTTTTGATATTCATTAGTAGAGGAAAACTCATTACAATGTACCTACCTGTAATGTAATGATCTGTATGTTATTACAACTAGGCGTGGACTTAATGTATTACTTTACTGTGTTTCTTTAGGAATCCCCCTTCTCCTACATATTTCATATCATGTTGCTGATGAAACATAAAAGGCGCTGTAGTTTCTGTTATCTATCTGGCACTAGTGACTTAAAAGAATACTAGTAAATATATGAGGGTTGAAGTTATAGCCCATCATAAGTGCAAGATTTTGCTGTTCTGGTTGTAGAATCAATGAAAATATTCTTCCATTTTATACTTGCTTGACTTATGCCTAGGTTGATCTCCAAAGATAAATTCCTCCTGAGGTGATTTGTTTGCAAGAAATTCGCATCCTTAATTGCCTTGCCACTGTAGTTTCAATTAAACTAATGTAAGTTGTTGCCAAGTTTTCAGAACTTTCAGCTAGCAAGCCCCTGTGTATGAATAGCCTGTGGCATTTTGTATTCTTTGGAAAACGGAGACTAACGTTGCCAAGTTTGCATTCAGTCATCCATCACATATTAGCCTACTGGAGGTCCATTCTTCCCGAGCAATAGGGGAGCTCTGCTTCCTACTTAGTAAGATTACTCACACAGAAAGCTTTTCCCCTGTAACCAGAACTGCGCAGGGAAGAGAAAGGAAGCTTTCTTCAATTCATATGTGTGCTCTTTTTCCAAATCCTTGACAAAAATGATATTGTTTCATGCCTAGAGAACATATTCTTTTTAGTAATTAAGTAGAAAGTAACAGGGTTGTGGGACAGAAATCTTTTTAATATAGCTTTTAAAAACAAATGCTTGAATTAAGGGCATGAGAAAGTACTATTGTAGTAGTCTGTCTCTGCCAGGCTGTAGCATTGACTGTACATGTATAGATATCAGCCAAGATACTCAAAGGAGTCTGAAATTTGGTGCCTGGGGAAATTCCACTTTAGTGGTTTTAATTCAACAAAGTCCTTGACTATTTGTCTGTGCTCTGTCCCAAGGTGCACTAGATCATCAGAAGATCATGAACCTAAAATTACAAATGCTAATTTTCTCATGGGGTTAGGATATTAATGGCACTAATAATCCCCTAAAAGCAGGGTGACTGCAACATGAACACTATTGTGACTATGGTGTTGAGCTTCTTTATGATGAAAAGTCTTGATCTGGATGGGATTGGCACTTTGGTTTCAGTTCATGGTGTTGTATGCTGTAGTACAAGACCTTAGTGGTTTTCTTCCTTCTTGGGCTAGCATGATCTCATTTTGGCAGAAGT